CGCCCCGGCTTGCTCTCAGGAGGAGTCACGGTCCATGCTGCACCCCAGGGCTTCGATGTCGTTGCTGATGTGCGAGATCATCCGGTCCCACTCGTCCTCCTCCGAAGGGACAGACTGGTCGTCCGAGCTGCCGGCGGCGCCGTTGCCGTTGGTGGTGGAGTTGGAGGTGGTGCTCAGAGTCCGCCGGTACCTCCCGAAACTGTCAGTGATGATGCCGCGGCCGTCCTTCACCCCGATGGTCTCCAGGAAGTTCTCAAAGTGTTGGCTGTCCTTCTCAGGGATGAAGGGGCGAAGGCCTGGAGCAGGGAAGAAAACACAAGGAGGAAAGCGTTAGTATCATCCAGGACAGATTTCGACCTGGATTTTCTCAGCTGCCTGAAATTCCCTGGGGCTTCTGCACCTTCCAGAGGAGCCCAGCCACCAAGGCTGGCTGCAGTGTCACTCCCCAGCTCCCCAAAACGCTGGAGGAGCCCATCTTGGGGAGACAGGGACCACTGGAGCCTCCAGCTTGCATCCAAACCTCATCTTCTACCCCTGAGACCTGCAGCCGCTGCCCACTGAGGCCAAAATCCTGCCCAAGCGGGATTTTCCGAGCTCGAAAGGATCATTTTCTAATTCCTCAGCGGAACATATTGCTCAGCTTTACCCAGCTTACTGCCGTACCCGAGGGAGCACGGGCAGGGCAGCTGCAGGAACATCTGTCCCTGTCTCCCTCTGTGTGTCCTGCCCAGGGACCAGCATTCCCATGGGGCCAGACAGGTGCTGTCACCCCCTGCGATGCAGAGAGGGGCAGCAGGAGGAGGGTGAGGCATGCTGCTAATTATTCTTTGAGGTTTTTTAAGTAACTAATTTGTTTTTCTTTGTAATTAAGAGGTGGGTTGAGAGTTCTCAAGAGCCAGGGTTTAAGCTCAGGATATTTAAATGGCTTTTTGTCCAGATGGGCCCATCCTGCTCCAGATGCAATCACAGAGCTGCTGCCATGCTGAGCATCACCCTGCTCCCTCCATGGTGTGTGTCCTTACTGGCAAAAACATCAGTCCCAGCTTTAGGGCCCAGTCACTACTCAAACCACTCAGAAGAAAACTCTGGATGCTCAAAAACTTGAATGAAAAACCTTGAGAGGAGGTTTCCAGCACAGTCAGAGCCTGGGCAGAAGGGCTGCTGCTCCTCCCCTCACCGTCTCACACCATCCGCCCTTGGCAAACCCCAGGGGACAGGATGGTGCTCAGCCCAGCTCTGTCCGAGGGACCATGGCACTGGTGCAACTGGGAAAACCAAGCTGGATCTGCGTTTTGGTGACATGCAGACACTATAAAGTCAACCTCCCAGCACAGGGACCTCGCCCTTGCACTGGCTTTGGTATCGGTGACGTTAAAAGTGAGATGGCTGCATGCACCCCCTCTCCCTGCAGCACACCAGCACCTTCAGCAGATCTGCCTTTAAACACCTGGCATCACTTTTCAGTCCTGCGAGGCAGCTGTTTCGGTCCCTGCACTGTCTCAAAGCCCCCCAGGACTGGCACGCAGGGCACTGGCCCTACACATTGTCACGAATCCAGCTGCCCTCAGGAAAGAGGATTCTCCAAAGGAGGAAGGGATTGAGATGTCGCTCCTTGTTTGGTGACACCCCAATGAATCTCTGTGCCACCCACATCCACCCCTCGACCCCCTTGCCTCCCCTCAGGCTGCCCAGTGGAAGGGCTGTGCAGCAGAAATCAGCACTGGGCACATCATGAGGGCTTGGGAGCAGACCCAGGGCCAGCTGTCACCCTCAGGTCGGTCGCTGACACTCACCCAAGAGCAGGAACTTTCTGCTGTCCCCGTAGAGCTGCTTCAGGTTGATGCAGAACTCATGGATTGATGCCCCGTTGCGATACTCATGCAGGAGCATCGCAAACTGCTGGATCTCTTGGGAAGAGAGCTTTGTTCGGAGCTGCAGACAAGAAGCAGACCGCAAACGTCACTGACGATTATTTTTTTAGGAGGAAGAGACGATGGGAAGCCTGGGAATGGTATCCACCACCTTCAGTGCTATTTAAAAAGAGCTGCAGTAACAAACCAGCTCAACCCTGTGGAAAAGCAGGACAGGCTGCTGCCTGGCAGCTTTCAAAGGGGGACAAACCAGGGACTGTGACTCACAAAGTGACAGACCTGCCGTGCCATGGATGGTGTGACATGCCCTAACACGCCGAGAGAGAACAAGGGGGTGAGGATGGTCCTGTGGGAGGAGGATGTGAGCCCATGTTTGGGTCCCGTGAAGCCTCCAAGCACAATTTGGATGGGGGGAAAAAAAAAAAAAAAAGAGGAGGATGGGATGTTCCTACACCAGCATGGGCTCAGGTTCTACACACACAGGTGACAATTCCAGATCCCAAGAGCACTCAAAACACCCTGAAGAAAACCCCTCCACCCTGTCCTGCCACCCCCGTGGACCCTACCGTCATCATGTAGTCCTGGAGCAGCTCCGTGGCCGTGGTGCTCAGCTCGCTCTCGCTGACCGTCTTAATGTGTGGAGACTGTTGTGTGGAGAAGGAAGAGGGCGAGTTGTCACCTGCGTCCAAGGTTTCTGGAAAGGAACTGAAACGCAAGCAGAGCATGAGTTCTCCGGAGCTGCTCGGGCACCTTCTGCATCGCTGTCGCTGGTGGTCACGGTGTAGGAGAGCGGGGAGGCACGTGGTGACGTGCTCTCTGCAATGAGGCTGGCAGCCTTGGCTCCTGGGAGTGTCCGAAGGCTCCCACAGCACAGGAGTTGAACCGTGTTGATTTAGTGACCTGCTGAAAATGGAGCCCTATGTGGGGCAAATATCCCCTCCAACTGCCTTCTCAGTTTGGAACAGTGCGGGGAGAAAGTCTCAAATCCCCTTATTTTGGCATTAAATTTGAAATGTTCAAACACAATGAGCCAATTTGAAACAAGGGGTTTGATGTGCCAGGTTTTCACCCCACAAATGCTGTCATCACTTTCAGCAGTCACCGATTCAGGAGGGAAAATAATTTCTAAAATAAAAGGGTTTTGGGGAAAACGTTTGTGGCCACTCCAGCTGGACTTCACCACAGCAAAGCAGCTGGGCGAGTGTCGCATCCCCGCTTTGCTGACGTAGGGGACTGTGCATACACTGCATACGTGACCTTCTCCGGCCACCCGCGGCGGCAGAACAATCCAGCCACGGGTGCTGCAGAGGCAGGGACCGCAGCATCGCACCCAGACAGTAAAACACCGTCCGATGTTTCAGCCAGACTGAGCAGCAGCTTTGCAATGTGCAGAGCGCAGCAGTTCCTGCTCCGGGGGTTTTAAACCTGGCAGCGAGGCTGCACTAATACACCCGAGTGCTGAGCGAGCGCAGCACTCCCCGGTTCACTTACAAAGTGCTTGCTTCCATTTCGTAAGATTCCTTCACATCCACTTTTGTAGAAGAGTCGTCTGCAAGGAAAAACATTTGAGACATGGAGGTTGAGAGGCAGAAATTTGGTGTTTTTCCTGCCCATGAACATCTACACAAACACACTGATGTCTGGCTCGACATGGATACAGACAGACTGGATACAGACAGACTCAGCAGAGATGCAGAACCACAGAGGGATTGTGTTACTGAGTGTCTGAATAGAGAGGCAAAGGGTAAAAGGGACAAGGACGATGGCTGATGTCCCGCAGCCCAGCTGGGGAAGCTCAGAGGAGGCCATGGAGATGGTCTGAGGCTGGAGCAGCTCCCGTGCGAGGGCAGGCTGAGAGAGTTGGGGGTGTGCAGCCTGGAGGAGAGAAGGCTCCGGGGAGACCTTCCAGCACCTTCCAGTGCTGAAAGGGGGCTGCAGGAGAGATGGGGGGGCTCTGGATCAGGGGGGAGGGACAGGACAAGGAGGAACGGGTTGATGCTGAAAGAGGGGAGATTGAGATGAGATATTGGGATGAAATGTTTTCCTGTGCGGCAGGTGAGGCAGTGGCCCAGGTTGCCCAGAGAAGCTGTGGATGCCCCATCCCTGGAGGGGTTCAAGGCCAGGCTGGATGAGGCTTTGGGCAACCTGGGCTAGTGGGAGGTGTCCCTGCCCATGGCAGGGGGTGGGACTCAATGATCTGTAATGTTCCTTCCAACCCAAACCATTCTGTGACTCTCTGACCCTCAGACGGGCCCGGTGAGAACGACGCAAACAGGGGGAGCACGGGCTTACCGCTGTGTAAGGACATGTGCCGCGTCGGCGTGGACGCCCCATCGAATATTGCTCTGTCCAAGAAGTCTATCGTGGACTCCGTGTAAACAATCTGGAAGACTTGGCTGAGAAGTGAGCACAGCTCCTCGGCGGTCACCTGGGGAGGGAGCAAAGCAGGGCTGGGGGAAGGCAGAAGACACCACGGTGGCCTTTCTTTTTGGCTCCCTACGGTGGGCACGCCGCACGGGACAGCAGTGTGGTGTATTGTGAGGGTGTTGTCCTCCCAGCAAGGATGGGGAACCCACTCATCCAAGATCCAGGACACTGCCCAACCCGCAGAGCTGGAGATGAAAAGCCTCGAATCTCGTTAGCTCCCTCCTGCTGTCCCCTGGGCTTCTCCTTGGTGCTACAGGAGACAAACTCACAAGATATCTCACCCCTCATCGCCTTCCCTGCTGCTGGAGAAGCATCCAAGCCCTCTTCAGCCAGGCAGAGCCAGGCCAGAGGAGATCGGATGCTCTGTCATCAACTCACAGCTATTAATTAGCACCCAGCTTTCATGCCGATGCTCTGTCCTACTCCTCTGTTCAGCTCCCTGGGATTTTGGCTCTATAACCTACATCCCAAATAGCTACAAGCACCCTGGAGAGTTTTAGAGCTGAAAAAAAGCCGAGCAGAACTCCACCCAGGGGGAAAAGGGTTCCTGCTGCAGAAGTTGGAGAACACGGGCTGAGATCAGAATCTCTGGATCCAGACACCAGATGAAACGAAATTTCCAGGTCAGCATCAGAAAAACGCCCTGGTCAGCAAAATCCTGCTGTGGGAAAGACACAGTTGTCTTCATGGATTTGCTGCTGCTGGAGAAAGCTCTGAGCACCACCACCAAGGGACAACCCTCTCCAGATACCCTCTCGTGTCTGAACCAGGTCCTAGAGCTTCAGCAGCGACCAAGTTTCCTCCTCCACAAAGCCCAACCCACATCCTAGAGTCTTAAAACTGGGCCTCAGTGTGTCACACATCTGGGGGACGTTGGGCAAGAGCAGGATGAGGCCACCCTGGGGCTTGTGGCTCTCCACCATCAACCCAAGAGGTTGTCACCACCCTGGTGTAAGAGCCAGGAAACCTCCCAGTGATCCCAGTCCCAGCGTCACCACAGGGTGACTCTGGAGGCAACCCCAGCATGGGACAGAGTTGTAATCAAGTGGTTTAAGTCTTACTTTGTTCTCTGTAGCCAGGACCACCAAGCAGCAAGCTTCAACGGGAACCACGCCGCTCTCAGACAGCGAGCCCGAAGTCAGGGCTTTGGAGCTCTCGGCACAGAGACTCTGGCTCGGGGAGATCCCAGGGTCCTGAGCTGAGAAAGAGAGAAGTCGTGATGGAAAAGTGGAGTCACCATCCCCAGGGGTATTTAAAAGACGCGTAGATGTGGCCCTTAGGTTTAATGGTGGGCTGGGCAGTGTTGGGTTAACGGTTGGACTCGATGATCTTAAAGGTCTTTTCCAACCTCGGTGAATCTATTAAAGTCTCTGAATGAAACGCCTGTAATTTAGAGCTGGTTTCTGACAACTCTGTAAATCGTCACCTTCATTTCCACAGCTTAGGCACCCTCAGAAATCCATCGGCAGACTTACAGCCACCTAAGTCACTTACTCTCCAGATTGTCTTTTGCTGTCAGGAGGTTTATAATCCGATAAGTCTCTGCCATTACATCCTCTAAGTAGCTCAGCCTTCCCCAAACACTCCATCCCCAAGCCACACAAGTTCCACACACGCAGAGCTGCTGGCGACCGATGTGAGCCCCTCTCCGGTGATTACAAGGAGCAAGGCGTGTCAGAAGTGACAGGTATCACCCCAGTTATTCAACACGGGCATTTAGACACCCAACATCAGGATGAAATCCTCCCAGCAACCTGCACAAGGGTTGGGAAGGGCAGGGCAGGTCCCACACACATGGACACCAGGCTGGAGGAGCTGCCTCCACCTCCTCTCCTTGCTTGTCCTCCTTGCAGACACCCATGGAGGCACACACCCATGGCAGTGGGCTGGAACTCGATGATCTTTAAAGATCCCTTCCAGCCCAAACCATTCTAGGATTCTACAAAGGACACCAATTATTTTGGTCTGTTCTCACCCAGCACCGCCTTTGTCCTGTTCCTGCTCAGGCCGGCTGCCGTCCTACACGAGGGCAACACTGGCTGCCGTGGGGCTCTGCCCCACAACCCCAAAACACGAGGCTACAGCCCGCGCGTGCTGGCCACAACCTACCTGTTTTCAGCACGACCAGGTGAGAGGAGTCATCGCGGATGTAGGAAACGGAGGCGATGTCATGGATGGGGACCCTGAGGATGAGATCTTCGCCGTCCCTCCACACCAGCTTGATGTTATAGGCGGAGAGGCTGATGACAGCATCGTGTTCTTGGGTCAGCTGCCCCGGGAGCTGGTGAGCTCTCTAAAATAAATGTATTTCCATTGATTTCTTGAACTGTTTCCCCTTTGGTAATGGTCTACCAAGGGGCTTCCCTCCCATGGGATGGAGGAGACCCAGCCCCAGCCCCAAGGAAGTTCCGCAAGTCTTATTTTCCACGCTGGACGTTAGAGACTACACAGAGCGGGTGATTCCACCAGGCTGAGTGCTCACCTTTGCGTTATCGATCAAATGCAGGATTTCCGTGCGGCTGGAGGGATTCAGGTACCCTGGGATGGAGGTGAGCTGCCCTAAATACTGGAAAAGAAGAAGCAAACCATTACCACGCCACGCACACGCTAAGCACACCCCAAACATGCCAGCTACGGTACGACAGACACCATCAACCCAGCACAAAGGGCTGCTGTCCCCCAAGCCCCTATTTAGAAGCTGCTAAATACATCTGGAAGGTTTCTCCTGGCTTTAAGTTATGTGACCACTCTGTATGGTTATATCTGAGCCCCAGACAGGCAGACTCACCTTCACTTCCTTCTCGATGTAGTCGTTGAGCAGCACGTCGGGTTCGACGCGGTCGGGCAGTGCCACCACCACCGTATGCAGCGGCCGTCGCTCCGTCACCTTCTCCTGGGCTTTTTTATCCCGACCTTTTTCGCCCTTCAGGAAGACTCGTTTGAAAGGAGAAACTATTCCAGGCTGCGGAGAGAAAGGGAAATGTGGGGGTTAAGGATGAGAGAGGGAATTTCTGAATTGAATTAGGGGGGAAACCGGCAGCACCTACTGCCCACCGCTCCTCCAGCCCAGACAACCATCACAGCCTGGTTCTCCCAGCCCCAACCACCCCGCAGACAGGCTGGTTTTAGAGTCACAAATCCACAAGTGTGTGATCTTCAATGGAAAACCCATTTCTTGCAACACATCGCAAAAAACACCAGTGCTGATAAGCCCCCGCTACCACAATGGGATGTTTTTCCCCCAAAGTCATGCTGTCCAACCTTTCAGTTCAGAAAAAAAAAGAAAAATTCAGATTAAGAGCTGTAAGAGCGAGTGAGACATGGCCACGCATAAAACCAGCGGGCTCCCTCCTCGCCTCGGTGCAGTTTTGTATTTCACCCAATAAAAAGCAGCTCGACGAAGGATTGGGAAAGGCAGAGATGCTGCCAAGGTCTGGGGTCTCAGGGGAGACCCACAAATGGGAGTACGCGACCCAGAAGATGGTCTCTGGGTTTGGAAAAGTATCGGAGCCAACA